GATTTTTATTATTTCCCTCCTTCCACTGATCGGGGGCTTTGTTTGTTCTTCTTTTTCCAGTTCCTTTAGGTGCACTGTTAGATTTTTTATTTGAGATTTTTCTTATTTGTTGAGATAGCCCTGTATTGATATAAACTTCCCTCTTAGAACCGTTTTTGCTGTATCCCATAAATTCTGGCATGTCGTATTTTCATTTTCATTTGTCTCCAGGTATTTTTGGATTTCTCCTTTGATTTATTCATTGACCCGATCATTATTCAGTGGCATTTTGTTTAATCTCCACATATTTGTGACTTTTCTGATTATCTTCCTATAGTTAATTTCTAGTTTCCTACTGCTGTGGTCAGAAAAGATGCTTGGTATTATTTCAGTCTTCTTATATTTATGGAGACTTGTTTTGTGGTCTAATATGGGATGAATCCTGGAGAATGTTCCATGTACATTTGAAAAGAATGTGTATCCTTCGGTTTTTGGATGGAATGTTCTGTATATATCTACTAGGTCTATCTGGTCTATTGTGTCGTTTAAGGCCAATGTTTCCTTATTGATCTTCTGTTTGGATGATCTATCTATTGGTGTAGGAGGAGTGTTAAAGTCCTCTACCATTATTGTGTTACTGTCTATTTCTCCTTTTATGTCTGTTAATAATTGCTTTACATATGTAGGTGCTCCTACATTGGGTGCATAGATATTTACGAGTGTTATATCCTCTTGTTGGATTGTTCCCTTGATCATTATGTAGTGCCTCTCTTTGTCTCTTGTTACAGTTTTTGTTTAAAAGTCTATTTTGTCTGATATGAGTATTGCTACCCCAGCTTTCTTTTCATTGCCATTTGCATGGAGTATCTTTTTCCATCCCTTCACTTTCAGTTTGTGAGTGTCTTTAGGTCTGAAGTGTATCTCTTGTATGCAGCATATATATGAGTCTTGTTTCTTTTACCCAATCAGCCACCCTACGCCTTTTGATTGGAGCATTTAGTCCATTGACATTTAAAGTAGCTATTGATAACTATGCACTTACTGCCATCTTTTAACTTGTTTTCTGGGTGTTTTAGTAGTTCTTCTCTTTTCCTTTCTTCTCCTCTTGTTCTCCTCCTTTGTGGTTTGACGGCTTTCTTTAGTATTATGGTTGGGTTCCTTTCTCTTAGTTTTTTGTGCATTTATTATAGGTTTCTGGTTTGTAATTACCATGAGGTTCGTATATAATAACCTACATATATAGCAATCTGTATTAAGTTGATGGTCTCTTTAGTTTGTCCTCTTTCTGAAAGCTCTACTCTTTTACTCCCCTCCTCCCACATTTTATGTTTTTGATATCATATCTAACCTCTTTTTTGTGCATTTGTATCCGTTACCCTCTTATCACGGAAGTAGATAATTTTTTCCTGTTTGTGGTCTTCTCATTTCCCCTTAAATAAGTCCCTTTAGCATTTCTTGTAGGACTCGTTTCTTGGTGATAAACTCCTTTAATTTTTGCTTGTCTGGGAAACTCTTTATCTCTCCTTCCATTCTGAATGATAACCTTGCCGGGTAGAGTATTCTAGGTTTTTTCCTTTTAGCACTTTAAATATATCATGCCACTCTTTTCTAGCCTCTAAGGTTTCTGCTGAGAAGTCAGCTGATAGCCTTATGGGGTTTCCTTTGTATGTAACTTGTTGCCTTTCTCTTGCAGCTTTTAGGATTCTCTTTTTATCTTAAATTCTGGACATTTTAATTATGATGTGTCTTGGTGTGGGCCTCTTTGGGTTTATCTTGTTTGGGGCTCTCTGTGCTTCCTGTACCTGGATGTCTGTTTCCTTCCTTAGGTTGGGGAAGTTTTCAGCTATTATTTCTTCAAATAGATTCTCTGCCCCTTTGTTTCTCTCTTCTCCTTCTGGGACACCTATAACATGGATGTTAGTGCACTTGATGTTGTCACAGAGGTCTTTTAGACTGTCCTCATTCTTTTTAATCTTTTTTTCTTTTATCTGTTCAGCTTGGATGATTTCCTCTAGTCTTTTGTCCACCTTGCTGATCTGTTCTTCTGTATTCTCTACTCTGCTTTTTATTCCCTCTAGTGAGTTTTTCATTTCCAGTATCATATGTAGGTTGGCTGTGTCTCCTGATCTTGGAGAGATGACCTCATGTAAGTGATGCCTTATGAGTCCCAGCAGTGTGCTTCTCTCTTGCCACCAGTTCCAAATGTTCCAGGAGTGATGCCCATGTGGGCTATGTGTGTCCTTCTGTTGTGGCAGGGATGCTCTTGCTGTAGGCGCCCAGGGAGGCTGAGCAGCCCCCTGGCGAGGTAATTGTAATGCTCAGCTTCAGTCTCTTTATTGGGAGTGGGGAGCCCCAGCACAATTGGCTGCAAGGTCTAATAGCACTTTCTTGTTGCCGTTTTTCTATTAAGTGAGTAGGCCCACAGCACAGCTGGTTGTTAGGATCAGGGGCTTACAATTGCTTTAGGCCTCCGGCCTATAAGGCTCTTGTCAGCTCTCTGAGGATTGCAGCTGGGTGGGGCTGGCCCAAGGCACAGGAGCACCCAATTGTTTCAGGTTTTGGAAGGTGGGCCTGATCCCCTATGTGGCTATTTGAGAAGCACAAGTCTTCTGCAGCTGACAAGCCCCACTGCCCACAGGTCCACACACACACACACAGTCAGCACAGTCCTGCCTTGTGCGTGCCCCAACCGCCTGAAATGGACCCAGTCTCTCCACAGCAGAGGCCCCACATTGTCCACCAATGCCCCACACACTCCACCTGCTCCTCACGCATGCCCTGCCCCACAGAGGTGGACCCACTCGCCAGGCTGCAGAGAGTCTAGGCACTACAAGTTGCCAGAGGGCTTGTTATTGGGTGGTGCCAGTCCCTAGGATGGGCTGCTTGCCTTGGGTGAGCTAGATTAAATTGGTGCTGTAGTGGGTGGGGCAGACTATGGGCTAGCAGGCCACAGGGAGAACTCCAATGGTGTCTGCCAGTGTCTGTGTGAGTACTCCCACACCATGTCACAACAATGGCCACCGCCAATGTCCCGGTCCCTGGAGAGGTCTCACCTCTCACCGAGATGCACCCAGAGCCTATCAAGTGAGTCTCTTTTCACCAAATGACTGTGCACCTTTCTTTCTGGTGATTTTAGGTTGCTTTCTGAAACAGGTGAATTCGTGCATGGACCCTTTAAGAGCTGGCTTTAATTGCTTTATGTCCCAGCATTTCTGGGGGTATTCCCCATTGTTGTTAGTAGCCAGCAAAGCCAGATATTATGACACTTGTCTCAGTTGTGCGGGGTCCAAAAAATGCTTATAGCAGCAATGCTCCCTGGCTCAGGTCCCCCACTCCTCCAGGGAAGGCTGCATACATTTGGATTGCTCCTGGGTGGCTGTGAAGCCCTGCAGCTTGTGAAGGTGGTGTTTTTTCTCTCTAGAAGGGAATTTCTGCCTCTTTCACCTAAGTCAAGATTGTTGTTTGTTGCAAGGGTTCCTCTTATCCAGTTTTCAGTTCTCTCTCAGGGGTATTTGTTCCAAGAGTAGTTGTAGGTCTGCTGTGTCTGTGGGAGGAGCTGAGTTCAGAGTCTGCCTATGCTGCCATCTTGACCTATTCTCTGATCAGCACTATATTAAACTAGTTGTTGTGATTATTATGTGGAGTTGATGAGGCTGCAGCCCTTAACATTACAGTATCCTAATTTATTGAGGATTAATAAATGAAACTTCACTTTGGTCTCAACTAGGAAAAGCCATGCTCCTCTTGAGCCTCTGGTTTTTTTTGTGCTGTAGATGCTGTTAATTTTGTTGCTCTATATGTCTCCTTTGTTCTGCCCACTTAGAAGCTCAAAATGAAATGTGTGAACTGGCTGTAACAATTGTACAGAATATTATATTAATTATTGGATGTGCTAAACTTTCCTCTAGTTTTCATTTTATATTCACTACAACCCATTTCTTTATTTTCTATATTTTTGTATTATATTTATTGTATGTGTCTCTAAGATGCCTCAAATTCTGTTTTGAAATAAGATAGGTCTATAAATAAAGAAACAAATTTGCATTCTCTGTGGAAACAATCTCCTAGATATTTTGTTTTCAGTAAGAAAGCCACCCAAATCATGAAGTCATTATGCAAATGAACTGAGAACTTGAAACACCTTTCACCAGAATGCTTTCTTTTGGAGGCACTGGAATGTGTGATTAGTCCTTGATGGGGGCTGCCATACTGCTAAGTCTATTTGGCTCCTGTTCTTCTTCTCCTTTTATCTGTCATGCCCCTAGCCTCTTCTACCTTTATTCAGTCCTTCATGTGGTCCTCAAAGCCCCCCTTCTCAAGCAAGGCTCTGATTATATCTGTCTCCAGATTTAAAAAAAAAAAATCCTCAAATCTTTTTCATTGCCTTCAGGAAAAGGCCAAATCTTACTCATCTTTTTGGATGACCTAGCATAGGCCTGGAATATAGGAGGCAGCTGATGAACATTTGTTAAATGAACTGAATTGCATTACAGAAGATAATGCATACAAGGCATTATTAGCAGAGTACTTGGCACAAAGTACACAATAAATGTTTATTTCTTAATCACGTTCCCTTCACACCTGTCCTGAACCTACCTTTCCCACCTCATCTGCCACCACTGTGGCTTTAATCATCACTCACTCTTGTAATTTCATGCAGATAACATACATTTCTATGCCTATGGAACCTTCACCATGCTGTTATTTCTACAATGCAATCTCTTCCTTAAATGCATCATCCCTGCCCAAATCTAGAGAAAAGAATACATCTTCCTGGTGATGTTGGTCCACATCTCCTCTATAATAAGCCATGCTGTTTATATTTGTATAGTTTGACCTGGTTGGGGATTTCTGGCATCTTTCACGTACAATTGCATGTTCTTTTTAACTGGCAAAGCTCCTTAAAACAAATTAGAACACACTTGCATTTGTTGATACAAGCACCCCTTCTTTCTGGTATTCAAAACCATTAATAAATGACTGAGCAGTGATTAAACTTTTGGATTTGAATGGATAGTTTCTATACGTATGTATCCAGTTGTTTAGCATTTTATTTCATTGTATCATCCCCTATAGGAAGTCTAAAATACATTTTAGAAAATTTTATAATCAAAAGAAGGATGGGTGATTTGTTTATCTCATGAAAACCTAGCCCAAGGCTACTGACAGCTGCAATTCCCCTAGCCACTTCCACATAATTTTTAGAATGCGAATGCCAGGAATGGTGCTGTTGACGTTAATATCAGGATAAGGAAGAGAAGGACTAGGTGTCTCTGGAGGAGTCTGTGGGGGAATAAACAAAGATACTTGTGCAATGTTGGAGATTTCTGACTTCAGGTTGACCTCATCAACAGCCTGAATAGCAATGAAAAGATCCGTGCCATTTTCAAAAGTGATGTTTTCTGGTTTAAACACAAAGACTTCCTCAGAGTTGGCCTCCTTTGGGATGAGATCATTAGTGTTCACTTGAAGCGAGTCATTGAATTTGTCTCTAAGATCAAGAATATTTGCACTTATTCTAATGATGTACTTGTGAGCTAAAAAAAAAAAAAGAAAAAAGAAAGCAAAGGACATAACTTGTAATTCTCATGTCTTAAAGAAGTTTTAAAAGTCTGTTAGAAACTATATCACCATTCCATAAATTTCCAGTGAATAAATAGAATTGATGGTCCATATTTGCAAGCGTAAGTATCCTTTCTACATTCTTGCTGGTGTATCTTGACAGAGTGATAAACATAAAACTGCATCGGGCATGACTTAAAGCTTTGGTGGGTATTTCTGGGCATAGTGCCTGGCTGAGAGAGGATGTTGTTTAATTACCGCTTATTATTTTATTATGTATAGACCAGTTTTGAGTACCAGTGCTTCTCAAACTTTAATGTGCATACGAATCACCTCGGGATCTTAAAATGCAGATTCCGATTCAGTATGTCTGGGGTGGGGCCTGAGATTCTACGTTTCTAACAAGCATTTGTGTGATGCCCATGCTGCAGTCCACAGATTGAGAGGTTTCTTCCAAAGGACAGCTCTGCTCTATAGAGATCTATGTTTTATTCCCAATCCTCCCCAGGAGTCGTTACTAAAAATGGAGTTTATGAAAGGACAGTTTAGCAAGATTTCAGAAAATGCTGAGGGTTGCCTTTTCCTGGTTGAAACCTCTTACACTTAACGTACGCCAGTTTTTCAGATTCTAAACCTCTAATATTTAAAAATCTTAACCTTTCATTTCAGAGGAAGCTCAAGATCCCTCCTGCCTTCTGCCCTCCACGTGGACCACAACGTGCCTGCCTCACTCCCTTCTGCACCTCTGCTTGGCTGCTAAACTCCCTTACGCGGTCCACACCAGGTCCAGCTTACCTGTTCCGTGATCGTAATCGTCCCCAGGAGCTGTCCAAGTCAGATTAATGAGACTGTCCCCTTGGATTTTTGCCTTCAGGTCAGTGATTTGGCAAGGTGGAAAGAGATCAGGTATGGGAGCATTTGGGACATTGGAGGCCACAAATGAACCTCCCGAGGATGTTCTGCTGAAACACACTTGCTTGCCTTGAAGATCATCCTTATTGATTTCAGGTCTTGGTGGATTCCATTTTATTTCACCTGTATTAAAAAATTCCTCATTATGTGATAAGCAACACCACTAAACATCTGTACTTCCCTCTGTTTTGTTACTGGATTACCTTATTCTTACTCTTCCCTTCCCCTTCATTCCTCCCCCACACAAAATTCACTTCAACTCCTTGGTGTAAAGATCCCAAATCAGGTTGAATCAGAGTGAAAAAAGCAAAGAGAGAATCACATTCTTTATCTCACAGGCATTTCCTGGATATTTAGTGGAGTAAATTTTGTAATTTATTTTCATGACATTTTTCCTGGAATTGTTTCTTTTCCCATCTTTTTGCCTATCCTGATCTTATCCTTCCACAAGTTCAGTTTAAATACTATCTCTGTTTTAAACCTTCTCAGAATGCCTCAAGAAATCTCTTCCACCTAGATAGTACTGTGGGTTTCATTATCTTTCCTATTTATTTGGTAATTAATCATCTGGGACTTCAAGAATTGCCTTGATTATCTATTCTGTGCATTTTTCTTTATCTTTCTCCATGTTTGTGTTTTATCTTTCTTATTAGATTGCAGTTTCTCATGAAACGTTTTATGTTAGGGGTTTTAAAATTTTATGCTTTTGAAAAACTTCTAACTTTGTCAATGAAAGCATGGGAAGTGAGTTCTCCTAGCAGTCCCAGTTTCCTTCACATTCCTATTGAAAGGTTGTGTAAAAGTAATCCTGGAATTCAAAAAGTACTCTGACCTGCTCCATCAGTGGAGTTGTCAGACTCTCTTTTTAACAGAAATATTCCATCACACTCTAACGTGGTGTTACTCAGAATTTACTTTCTCATAAACTCTACTTCTTTAGCCCTTAAAATTTTTGTCTGTAAAGGAAGATTGATCTTCATACCATTAATCTGGTCTTGGGCAAAGATGAAATGAGTTCTTTAGCAAGTTCAGGGTTAGTATTCAATTAACCAATAGAGACCATCTCTCTTGGTATTGAGGCTTATCAAGGGATAGAGGGAAGAACATGGCTTCCCAATGCCAAGCCAGATGCTACCATATTGGTTATGTGGACTAAGAACCTCTCTAGCCTCTGTTTCTCCATCTGTCAAATGAGACAACTAGAAGAATGAGATGTACTAATGTAGGGAAAACACTGAGCATAAGGCTAGATATAGCCACCAAACCAGTGCCCCCCTGCCTTCTTCCCCTAACTCAAAAAGAAGAGCAAAAGAGACTGAAATAAGCTGAAATATGTGAAAGAGCTTTGGAAGCAACAGTGTCTTTTAAAGCATTTTTTTTCCCTATAATTGCCTTTGCATGAGGAGATACCACATGTCTCTGAATCCTCTCTTTACTGTGTGTACACCTAAGTAAAGAGGACAGTGGAAAGCTTTTTGGAGAAGCTGTTCTTACTACACATCAGTGCTCAGAAAACACCTGCCCAGGACAGAGTGGAGATAATGGAAAACGAGTCCTGGAACCCATCAAGACTCAGTCTCTGTTCCAATTCCAGCTCTAGTCCACGGCAAGTGTTCATCACAAAGAGTGCTATGGGACTGTCTGTTTCCTGAAGCATAATTTTCCCACCTGCTTACATGTGGGCTCAGTGTGGGCAGGTATTAGGTTAATCTACTATTCTCCCTGGTCTAAGCAGGAAGAGAGAGGAGAAAGAGGAGACAATGGGCTTATGGTGATATTGATGTAGTTAACAAGCCCTAAATTATGTTTTATTCTATGGAAATGCCTGTATCAGTGAAAAGAACTTCATTAAAAGTGTTTTAAAATGTATTAAAAATAACAAACATTTACTGAACACTGAGTATTTACCAGCAATAGCTTATTAGATGTATTTCCTTGTTTATTCCTCATAACGATCCTATGAGGTAGTTACCATTATTATCCCTATTTCACAAATGAGGAAAGTAAGCACAAAGAGATTACCTAAAATACTTTATTTGGTAGAGGGCTGGAATTTGAACCAAGGCAGTCAAAACTACATTCAATCTAGTGGTTTTCAACTGAGGGCTATTTTGCCCGCTAGAAGACAGTAGACAACATCTGGAGACTTTTTTTTTTTTTCTTTGTGAGGAGATCAGCCCTGTGCTAACATCTGCCAATCCTCCTCCTTTTTTGCTGAGGAAGACTGGCCCTGGGCTAACATCCGTGCCCATCTTCCTCCACTTTATATGGGACGCTGCCACAGCATGGCTTGATAAGTGGTGTGTCGGTGTGCGCCCGGGATCCGAACTGGCGAATCCTGGGCCACTGCAGCGGAGCATGCGCACTTAACCGCTTGCGCCACCAGGCCAGCTCCTGGAGACATTTTTGATTGTCATGACCGGGGGGCTGTTTCTGATATCTAGTGGGTAGAGGCCAAGGATGCTGCTAAACATCCTACAGTGCACAGGATAGCCCTCCACGACAAAGAATTATGTTGTCCAAAATGTCAATAGTGCCACGATTGGGAAACCCTGATTTAAGCCTGTACCATTCTCCCCATAGGCTTAATGGTTTTCTCTTGATCCCAAGCCTTTTACTCAAGCCAGGTGTGTTATTACAGATCACTTACCATTCTCAAACCAGCCAGGTATGTACATGGCTCCATTCTGCTGGGGTACCACCTTTTGTCCGGCTGTGTTCACTCCTCCCAGAGCCCACACTTTTATACTGTATCTACCATTTGTGTCGTAAGACGTAAAATACCTTGAATAGATACCATCATTCTTAGTAGCATCAGCACCTTGATAGGGAAATGAAGGAATTAATGAATATCCTAAAGGTAACTGGGGATTTGTATATTTCCAACTCACATGTGAGTAAAAAAAGCAAATTTTCAAAGCAAAGATAATCCAGCATTATCTCCAAGCAAGTTTGGGATTTGACTATGTTAAGGATGAGATCTACTTCTTTTACCAGTGTGGTATGTGTATGTGTGTGTGTGTATAGTTTCATATATGTACATCTTGTCTTCCTGAATTGTTGTCTTTCTTTTTGAAGTCAGAGATCATGTCATGTGTCTCTGTTACAACCAGTATAGCACAATGTAACTACTCAATAAGTGTCTGTTGAACTGAATTGAATGTATGTGACTGGAGAGAAAAAAAAAAGTTATATAATTATTTTTAAAAAATTCATGACTTCTCCCCAAGGTAGATTTAGGTAGGAAATTCATTTAGAGAATTTCTTCTAGTAAGGTTACTCGCATCACAGTAAGCAGTCAAGTTCCTTCCAAAGAGAAATGTAGAATTCTCTTTCTCTCTCTCTCTCTCTATTTGATTTCTTAAATACAAAAATAATGGGCAGGATTTTCTCTTTGAGGGCAAGGTAATAAAGAGTACACATAGATATAGAAGTCACATAGAACTGTACTTGACTTCCTCTTCTACATGTGAAAGCCTCAGTTTCTTCATCTGTGCTGTAGGAATAATAATATCTTAAAAGTGTGTGGTGAAGATAAAAATGAAGATATATATATATATCTTCATAGAAAACACCTAACACAAAATAGCTATTAATTTTCCTCTTTCCCTTTTGGGGAGTGCAGAATACCCTCTGACAGCTCTCTAGAGTCTCTGAGCCTAGTGAGCTTCAGCCACTAACGTGTTTGGGCTTTGCAGAAGCTCAAGGTTGGCCCTTCATGTTTCCCAACATTTTAAAATATAGGAATTGTGGGGCAGCAGAGAGCTCTCCCAACCAGACCCTCGAGTGCTGGACCCCCTGCTTCTAACTGTCCTCCCCAGACCATGCCCTCCTGCTGTTCCCTGGTTGCTTCTTGAAAAAGAAAGACGTGTTTTCCAATTTCTTGGGTGGTTACCTGCTCCATTGTCCAATAATTCCAAGGTAACTGTTTTTCCATTCACCGATTCTATCAGGGCTGTGACAGTGGCCCTGAGAATCGGTAAGTTTCCTTGGTGAATCTTTGCATAAACTACCATAGGGCTGGGGAATTTGCCTGTGTCTTTGTTCACTTTAGAGGTCACTGTAACTGGAGGCAAGGTAGCACTTGATGCACGAGAGGTGACAGTCAAAGTCAAGGTTTGGGAGTTTGCTTGCAGACTGTAATTCCAAATGCCAACCTGACCAAAACAAATGGAGACATTTCCAGTTAATAACTGTAGGTGACACAGATCTGACTTCAGTACCACCTAGAGGAAGAGCCCATCTGATATAAGCACTGTACAAGCATATCTAAGAAGACCTTTGATACTCTGTCAGCCAATGGAAATGTTGGTATGTTTGGACTGACTACATTGCTCTTATCTTCAAGAAAACCCTAGTTGGGGAAAATGAGGTCTGAAAGCTGTATCCTTATCACTGTCTTGGTTTCTCAAGAGCAGAATCAAATTGATGGGTTCCTGAAGTAGAGGAAATAGCTTTGATGATCCTGAAGCTTGAAGGATCATTTTGCATCTTGACTGCTATATAATTTGAAGGTTCTCCTTTTAGTACCCGGAGAAAATACCACCAATTTCCTTTCTTTTGACTTGCTGTCATACTGAGTGATTTCCATTGGACGGAGATTTTTCCTTTTTCTCTCTTTCATTCAATACAGACTCTCCTTTTAGCAGTCACCCACATTTAAAAAGCTACAATTATTTGGTAAAAACTTTATCTTGTCGAATGGTGAGAAGGAAACACACTGGCTCTATACCTTGGCAGTGCCTGGGACTTGGAGGTAGGCCATTTTGGTTGTTGTGTCCACTACAAAGCCATCTTGTCTCTTTCCACTGGGATCCCAGAGAAGGATTTGGGGAGGCTGTGTTGTCCAGGTGATGAGAAACAAAGTATCATTTCCCACAGTGCTGTCCACAATCACTGTGCCGTTCATCCACTGACTGTTCTGGAGGGTTAATCCCTTACTCTCAAGCTGTTAAGAAAAACAACTCTTTACTTTCTGGAGAATTACAGAAATTTTTCAGCTTCCATTACATAGTCTCTTCCATTCTGCTCCCAACTCTCAGTTGCACCACTAAAAAGCCTTCAGTGATGCTTGTGTCCTTGGTTTGGTATTTAGGACTATTATGATCCAATTCTAAATTACCTTTCCAGCCTTAGCTTCCACAATGTTAATTTCTACACCCAAACCAGACCATCTCCCCAAATGATCCTCATGGATCCCTGACTCTATGACTTTATCATACTCTGCTTTTCCTGGAAATCTGTAGGTACATCTCATTTGTCTAAGCCTTATCTTTCCTTCAAAACTCAGTTGGAAAGTCACTTTCTCCATGAATCTCTCTCTGACGTCCAATTCACTCACCAGCCAGGAATAATCTCTTCCTCCTTTGAGCTCCCACAGAATCTTTCTTCTATCAGTCCTTTGACGTTCTCACATTGTGTTTTGCTTTATACCTACTGGTGTACACAGCTCATCTCATCTGCTAGATTGTAAACCCTTAAGGGGACGGACTAGAACTTATTTTCACCCACATATGGATTGTTTGAATTGCTAATAACTGATTGCTACGTCAAGTATTACCACAGTCCCTGTGACAATAAATGAAATGTCAATGGCCAAGGCTGATTTGTTTGGAGTAGAAAGAAGGAGCTGTGGAGCAGGGATTGAGGGGGGAAGGGGTAACAAGACTTTTGTAGAAACTGTGATTTTGAGGATTATCTCCTAGATAATTATTTATGTCTTCAAATTGATATTTCTTAGAAGACAAAGTGGCCTGGTCGTGGGGCCCGACTTTCTAGTTTCATGGGTGGATTATGGTCTTGGATGTGGAGAAAGTGAAGGGCTCTGAGATCTGATTCTTATGGTAGGTGAGTAAATGGGTCCTGCTCATCTCTCTCTCTCTCTTTCCCTCTTTTGTATTCTTAAATACAAAAATAATGGGCAGAAACTGCCTGGCTGTCAATTTGTCCTTTTGTCAGTTTATTGCTTTTCTAAGACACATTCCCCCCATTTCCAAACCGGGCTCTTGAGTTTAATTTTCTAAATCTAAAGTAGGATAACCCAAGTGAGTGTAATCGCTGTCTCCTTTGACTGAATAAGTACTACATTGATAGTCCAGAAAGCTTATTGTTTTGAAATCTCTCATTATTTGGCTTTGATATTACATTATTCCTTTACTTTTATCCAAACTTTCACAATAAAAGTTACAATTCACACATGTGTGAGGCTGATTGTTCACTCTCTCTAGTTTAAAAATTCATGTGAGTAATTTTTGCAACTATTAGAGATGAGCATTTTAAAATATACTTGTCCTTTTCTTTAATAATCCCAAGACTTTTGAAAGAAAATCTAGTTTTCTTGAAATTTTAGAAACAGAAGGGGCCATGGAAGTTTTCTGGTTCATATCTGGCTGAGAAACTGAGGCCCAGAGAGGTGAAATTCTTTGCCCAGAGTCACAGAGTTAATGGCAGACCCAGGACCAGGATCCAGGTGTCTGGACTGATACCATGGGCTTTTCATAGTACACAGCACTGCCTATCCATTATATGAAAATCTTGGCAAATATTTCAGGGATTTGAGGTAATGGAAAAATAGAGCAAGTAATCCTTGAACACTTGTCCTAGAAAATTTGTATCAAGATGATCTACTTTGGAGAAAATTTCAAGCCAATTATATTGCTATGGGTGCTTGTTAGCAGATGTTGAAAAAGAATTCTTAGACTCATTATATTTTATGTTGCTGGTTTCTGCAGTGCAGTTACTTAGTATTGTTTCCAAACAAGTAAACACTAATTGCCTTGTTTAAATGAGTAGTGTTGCATTTTAGGAATATCATCTAATATCAGGCTAAAACTTCTATTTTAATTTTATTTCACTACTAGAAGAATGTAGAACCTAAAACTTTTTTTTTTTTTTTGGTAAGGAAGATTCGCCCTGAGCTAACATCCATTGGCAGTCTTCCTTTTTTTTCGGCTTGAGGAAGATTAGCCCTGAACTAACATCTGTATCAATCTTCCTCTATTTTGTATGTGGGATGCCTCCAACAGCATGGCTGATGAGATCCACGCTGGGCATCCAAACCCGCGAACCAGGGGCGCCTAAGCAGAGCGCACGGAACATGAACCACTCGGACACAGAGCCGGCTCCCAGAACCTAAAACTTTTAACCATCAAACTCTCCATCTTGGCTATGACTATTTATAAACATGAAAAACCAAAGAGGAACTCTGACCTGGATGGAGCGCTGGGAGATAGCTCCGTTCCCTGAGGAAAGGGCTCCGAAAGCGTCGATGAGGCCGTTGTTCTGAGCCTGATCTGAAGCATACATCTGTAACCCCCCTAAGATGCAATTACATTATCAGAGGTTATTTTCTAGAAAGCAAGTATTTGCAACATTTTAGCTATTAAGATAGCAGAGTACATGAAATAAATATTCTATTGTGTTATTAAAGTATTAATAGATTGACATCAAATAGGTGTTCAGATTAACTCAGAAGTTGATATTAATTTTTTTTTTTTTTTTTTTTTTTTTTTTTTGGTGAGGATGATCAGCCCTGAGCTAACATCCATGCCAATCCTCCTCTTTTTGCTGAGGAAGACTGGACCTGGGCTAACATCTATGCCCATCTTCCTCCACTTTGTATGGGACGCCGCCACAGTGTGGCTGGACAAGCGGTGCGTCGGTGTGCACCTTGGATCCTAACCCCGGGCCACCAGCAGCGGAGCGCACGTACTTAACTGCTATGCCATGGAGCCGGCCTCTGATATTAATTTTTAATCCTACTAAGTAATAGCTTCAGCAACACCTCAGTAGTCTGGCTACTTCAACTCTCTGCAAAGCTGCCATGAATCTCTGACAGGCCAAAATTAATGTCATAAAATTCATGTTTTAAAGAACATGCACTTTCATATGAGAGAAACCATTAAGCTTTACTCCAAGCCTATTGATTTATTCTTATTTTAGACATAATCCTAAGAAGCTTGACTTTTGAGTTTTCTCCTAAATCAGAAAAGGTGTGTATGTGACAACAGCAAGAAATAACAGCTGACGAGAGACAACTATAGAAAAGTACAATATGTAGTAAAAATGAGATTATACACCAGGCCTAGCAGTCTTGGGCTATTTAGAACAGATGCGACTGAGATCGTTGATGTGAAAGCACTTTTAAACTATTAATGCCATCTGAAGTCTAAGGAAAGTATTTCCGTCGTGCTGCTGGTGCTCCACCCAGAACCCCTTATCTAGCTGAGTGCCTCTCTCCCCAGCTGCTCTAAGTGTTAGCTGCTGATGGCGCATAGCTGCCTCCTTTTCCAAAGAAGTACCTTACCAAAAGGGACCACCCTAGCTGGAGAAATGACGTGCCCCCTCGTCTCTGCCCTGCCCCACCCTGACAGTCCACAGCCACTGACTGATGGACACAGTGGTACAAAAGGCCAGCTCTCTTGCCTCAAGATTGGACCAATTCTGTGATGCAATTCCAAATCCAGGGCCTCCTGGGGTCAGGCTTCAGCTAGACTCTGAGTCAGCCTCTGTGCCTAGCTCCTTCCCCTGCCCTATCCTACTTCCCTCCCTCCCTTTCTCCTGAGAGCTCTCTTTCTATAAATCACGTGTACCCAAATCCCTGTCTCAGGCTCTGCTGCTAGAAAACCCAGCCCAAGACAGGTAGTATTAGGAGCAAACAGTCCTGCCATTTTAGCTGCCTCAGAAGGCGACTCAGTATAATAATTGATGTTCATAATGCTGGCCCTAAATAAGAAAAGAGAGAAAAATATGTCCACTATTCTGCTAAAGAAACCAGGGACATATGGGATCCATTTTAACCATCTGACTGTGTGTGGGAATTAGAAGCACAACATATTAATGTTTTACAGAGAAGCTGCCCTGTATTCTTCATTTTCAGGGTGACTTTCTGTGAGGTTCCACAGGCCCTTTGCCCTTCTCCTGCTACTCCTTGTTAAAGTACCAGCTCAGATGTCATCTTCCTGGACCCTTCTCCTTCCCCACTTAAAGTTAATGGCTCCCTTCTTTGTGCCTCATTGTACTTTCTGTTGCTAAGAGAGCACTGGTATCATGCTATTATGCAGTTAGTGGCTTGTCATCTGTCTCCCCTGGGTCTCTTGGCCAGTTGCCAGTTGGAAGTGAGTGATTTCCGACTAAGCTCTTAGATTCTTTCCAGTCCTTATAAAGTGTCTGGTAAGAGAGTCCTGAGTCCTCACTAGAGTGCTGTGCTGGTCTCATCTTCTCCAGACTACCCTAATCCTAGAACGATGGCCTTAAAATAAACGGGTGGAGTCAGTTCTAATGGTCATTTCGGGTGAGAGCAGCTAGTTGGCCAATAACATTACCCCTGTGTGTCCCTATCCCACCCTTCCTCTGCTCCCCAGTTCACGGGAGCTCACAGGCCCATGGAAGAGACAATCAGTGGGACCCAGCACATCATCCTTCACCTGTCATTTTAGACAGCTCCTCTAGTTCTTGCGCTGCAGAGGGCCCCAGGGCGACTGTGTGGATGACAGCTCCACTTTGTTTCACCTCATTAAAGCACACATTTATAGTGTTGTCCTCCCCATCGGTCAATAGCACGATTTCAGATCCGTCTGTTGTGTATTTCCCCCTAATCACCTGAGGACAGAATTCAGGGCGTGAGTTATCAGACTCAGAGTAGCCAAAGTGTTTGGGAAAACTGCATTTAAGGGGAGTGAGAAGGGAAATTCCAGAGGAAATAAACAAAAGTGTCTGGGAATGGTCAAATGTCTGCCTGAAAATGATACAATTTTAAATCAGCAACATCCATGGAACTTGACAGCAGTCTTTTCTCTTGCTTAGCCTGCTGCAGAGAGGACTCTGTAAGGTGGATGCAGGGCAGTTCCAGGGATAGACAGGCCTGGGGAAGCAGCAAAGAAGGTCTTGTCTAGTTTCCTTCACATGATCCCCCCTTGACAGGCTTTCAGGGGTTCCCAGATGCCTTTAAAAACCACCTTCATTTAATGGGGATAATATTTGTGGGATATTAGACCCAGGGCAGATTTTAGCTTGTATAATATTCACCAGTCTGACCATACCAGCTGTTTATGGCTGGCATTGGTTCTGATTGGTCAGTACCCAGGTAACATGAGTTATTAAATTTTTTTATATTCCCTCTAGTTAAAGCAAAACATTTTGTTCCTATTAATTCCCAGTTCCTAATTGTCCTTGACACCTGTGTCTCAACTATTCCCAGTAGACACAGATTATAGCTTTTTATATGGTGTAGAGAAGACACTCCTTCTGCCAATGTTGGATAAGATTATGATAGAAGGAAAATTAGGTAAAGGAATAATGTTATCCGTTTAAGAAGAGGAAGGTAAGTGTTCACTCTTCCCCTAAAAAGAGTGGAAGGAGAGCCCCAGAAGTAGGGGAAACAAGCAGCCAAGCCTAAGTAACCTCCCCTCTCTGGAACAATGCTCAGAAAGGGAAGACATCTTACACAGGTTGAAAGGAAAGTGGAGAGCAGAGGAAACTTCCACCCCACTCTGTTTGAACTCTGAGAGGGGGCTGCCTCACAAGGGAAGAGAGCAGAACTGTGACTGCTGCCGTGTGAAGGAACCTGGAGCTCAAGAGCCTGTCAGATGCAGCCAAGGCCTCCGTCTGACCAAGCTGCAGGGCCTGCAAGGCCAGAGATAGGGCTCAATTTGGATTCCCTTGCCCTCTCCCCATCACTGCTATGTGTCATGGAAAACATGCAGAAGTTCCCACATATCCCATAGCGGAGACAGAAGACAGCTGACTTGAGAGTCGGCAGGCAAGAGAACAGGTCATGTTCCCATAGGAGGTAGAGGGATGTACAGCCTGCTCAGGGGCTGGATGGAGGATGCCGGGGTGCTCATGGCTCTGCTCCAACAATGAGAGCCAAGGTGGGCTGAATCAGTCAGGGAGGACCACTGGGTCCTGATCAAGCCAAGAAAACAAGCAAAGTCCAGTGACCACACCTCTGCAAACATCACTGCCAGGAGCCCAGGACAGACCTGACCAAGGTCCTGCAACAGGGACCAGTGGGGATCTTGAGGGTGGTGTAGGATACAAGGCCCTTTACCTCATCACCCTGAAGTCACACACAAGCTGCTCTTGCCCCACACCCAGACTCCACTGGGTGGGAGGAGCATCTAAATTCCAAATGTATCCCTCACCCTCTGTCTCACCATCTGAGTGGAAAATGCAAGACCAGAAGTTTTCTCTTCACCACCAGGCCATCTGGCATTAGTCATCTCCCCTAGGATTTTGCATAGCAGGAGTTTAGTACAACACGTCAGTGGTTTCATTGTTAGTCACCCCCCTCATTTGCTTCTTTAATCAAAGCTTGGATGAGTGGCAGAGGCGAGAGAACCCAGATGCACACAGGCATCTGGAGAAGGGTTTTGCAGCTGACTGTGTACGCACTAGAAACCACTTTTAGGGAACTGACCTTCAAGGTGGAATAAAAGGGCCAGAGGGACAGACTGCATTTGAGGAAATGGTTGAGTCTGTTGTCCACATGAAACAGTGTGACCTGGAAACAAAATGTTCCTGCTACTGCTTGGGAATCTGGAACAGCCCCTCTCACGGGCTATACCTCACAGCAGGCAGAGGGCAGACCTGCCCAAGACGCAACGGAGATTCTGAGACCTCAGGCCAGCCAGCCTCTTTCAGCCTCCTATTCTTTGTTTCATGGGGCTAAACAGCCTCTAAATAAATATAGAATATTGTATTCTATATTTGGAGTGATTACGTATCAGATGCATCAAATAACTCCATTCAATTTTATTTATCGGGAACCTCCTGTAGAAAAGATATTGTGCCAGCAGCCTAGGAGGTGAAAAGATAAATCCTATCCCTAAAGAAGTTTTGCTCGATTGAAGCATATGATTAGAAAACAAGACATAAGAGCCTAGAAGTCACAAGAGATATTAAAAAAAAAAAAAGGTCATAGGATTCAGAAAGAGAGAATCCATACAATTGGAAGCATCAGGAAAGATGTCAAGAAGTAGGTGGTGTCTGTGATGGATCTCTGAAGATGCGTGTGATCTGAAGTATGAAGGAGGGAGGAGTAAGTACTCTGAGTGGCGAGCCAGCCTGGCAAAAGCGTGGAAGCTCTGCAGGACAGGTGATCCAATTTGCTTGAACATAGGATACCTAGAAGAGAGTCCTTGATACTGAAGCCTGGAAAGGGGCTATATTATGAAAGAACTTAAATATTATATAGAGAAATTTTTACTGAATTTTGTTGAAAATGGGGAGACATTGATATCTAAGTAGAGGAATGATGTGATGGGATGGTTGGATGAGATCTTTGCATATACCCCAATACAATTATATTTACAGTTCCTAAGGCCTTCTGCTTTAATAAATAAGACGTTTGCTTGCCCAAAAGGAAATCCTATATACCCAGAAGTTTGGCGTGTTAAGCTTTCTCAAAGTTGAACCATACTCCCAAGCTCATTTTTTTTCCTCTTGGAAGATACTCTCTTACATCCCTGTGGAACTTTTCTTCATAGCACTCATTACACTTTGTGAATCTACACTTATTTGTGTGACTACATGGTTAATGTGTCTCCCCCAATAAGATTATAAGCTCTGTGACAGGAGGTGTGGTGTCTGTTTGGCCATCCTGGTATACTTAATGCCTAACACACTGCCTGGCATGTAGAAGGCACACCGTGGATATTTTTAATGCAGAAATGCATGTAGGAAAGCATGAATGCACAGATGCAGAAAAGCACAAAAGTATGAATGAATTAGTTAACAACAGCTTTAGGGACCTGTGTTTTTGCATTGTTTGAACCATTGCTCTGCCCTTGGTTGTCTGATTCAACTAGACACTAGGCATGTATGGAAACACTGGAAAGGCGAATTTCTTAGGAAGCATAAATTGTAAACATTGGCAAACTACGATGGGGGAACTTATCTCACAGTAAATGCTGATCGAAGCCCGGAGCAGATGGACGTTCCTCCTGAGGCCACTGTGGGTAACTTTCTGGTGAGCAAGTCCCTTTCAGTGCCACCATTTATCTGTATGAGTGCACTTTGTACATGGGCAGCACTATCAAACGTCACCATTCCAACCCAGGACCCTTGCTCAACTGTCTGCAGGAGGAAAAGTTTGCCTGCTTGGTTCAGTCTGTTAAGGCGGCCACCAGTCTGAATGGAGAAGCAAAAGAAAAGCAGTCAGGTTGGGTTTAAATGGGCAGAACTAATAACAAAACAGGCTAGAATTTGGAAGTGGCTGCCTCAACGTAGAGTAAAGGACAGCAAGCTTACTCAAGGCATATCCTTCTACGGGGGAAATTTTCTTCTTTATATTTAGTAGTATCTTTGGGTAGAATTTTAGGGCTTTTGTATAAATAGCCCTAAAAGATAAAGCCAGACTAGGATTTAGTTCAATTATCAGTTCAATGCTTTAGTAATACCATAGACCTACATAGTGTCAGCGAAACTTAAAAAATATTAAGGCTAAGTAATTTATCAGATCTTTGCTCATAATTGAAAGCTAATTTGTCAAATGAGACACTTGATGCTTAATTTTTGTGGAATAAAATTGAGGTGGGCCTTTCTGATGGCAATGTCATTGTTTTAACTGTTGTGACCCTTGGGGTTGTATTTATTCCCAGCCAGTTCCAAGTTATGTTCCAGATCGTATCGTGCACAAACGTGAGACTAACATCCAGAAAACCAAGACTCTTTGAACATACCGCCATGCTTCCAGATTTATCAAGGACTAAACACACAATTCTTTGTCCAGTCTGCAGCAGTGAGAAGGTGGGCTGGGGTGGCTGTGTCGTCATAGGAGTGGTTTTCTTAAAGTCCTCAGAATCGCGAATCACTTCCCATGTGCTTCTGAGATTGCATCTTTGGTTTTGCAGGTTTGGGGCTTCTTTATTGTGATTTTTTTCTGTGCAGAATTGGACCACCTGAAATTGTCAATAAAATGATATAGACAACAGTAAACTACTTACTAAAATCTTTAATAATTTGATTAAATTATTTTAAATGCAGATTTAAAATATTTTGCTTTCTTTCCCTTCTCCCCAGTCTGCCTTGCTAACCCATAAAGTTGGCTCAATCTCACAGTCACTGCAGAGTGCTGCTGGGGAAAATCATAGTCATAATTTGGAGTTCCTATCTGAAACCATGTGTTCAACCACATTGGACCCCTAGTGCTCCTCAACAACCTATTTACCTGCCCTTGGCTTCCTTTCTGCTTCTCAATTTGCCATTTCAAGCCATCACCACTATCTTTAAGTCACTTGCATCTCAACATTTCTCTCCTGGTACCATCTTATCTCTCCATCCTTTCACTTCCCACTCACTTCTTTTCTTCCCACTCACTTCCCAATACCTTGCATTCGAACTTTAAACACCCAACATTCCAGCTCTCTCCAAAATCCAGTTGGATGTCCCTCAGGCTTCTCAAATTTCACATGTTCATAATAGAACTCATCACCTTTCCTCCAACTCAGTTCCTCTTCCTCATGTATTTCCTAACTTGATGTTACCACTATTCACCCAGTCACTTACATCAGGAAACTGGGAGTTTTCCTACCTCTTCCCTCCACAAAATAACCATGATCAATACATTTCACTCTGTCTCCAGTTCATTATCTTTTCTCCTTCTCCAATAGAATCTCCATCATTCAAGCCCTCACACTCCTTCCTTCAGACTATTGCAGTCTCCTCTCTGACTTTTCCGTCTTGCTCCCCCTCCAAGTGGTCCACTCCACAGCTGCCAGAGCACTTCCTTCTTACTCCTGTCCTTAAAATCCTTTGGTGGCTCATCATTGTTCACATACCACAATCCGGATTACTTCACATAGCAAACAGTAATCTCCATGATTTGGATTTTCGCTTCACTCTTCCTCTTCACTCTGGCTGTGCATTCCAAGACTCTATTTCCCCCACTGTAGGCTATAAGTTCTCAAACTTGCCAGACTGTTTCATATCTCTCTACCTTTGCTCAGGATTCCCATTTTGTCAAGGAACTACATCATTGTGAACTATATCATTCATGAACTATATCTTTATTGTGTACCATATCTTCACGTTTCAGCCAAAAGATCATTTTCAAAATGTTTTCTCATTTCTTACTCTCTCCCTACAGAATTTCTACTCAACCCTGTGGCCTCACAGTACCCTATAGAAACTTTGGTAAGGCTCCTTTAGTATCATAATGCACTCACTGAGCTGTATATCCATCTATGGCAGGAATCTGTCTCATTAAATTTTGCTTCCTGAAAACTTAGCCCAGTGTCTGATGCATAATAAAAGCTCAATATAAGTTTGCTGTTTTTTAAGTAACCTTAACCAACCTGCATGTCAGTTTTTTTATCTACAAAACGGCAGTAGTTATTATGCAAGAGTTACATGAGAACAAATGCAATAGGGTCAATACTAACACAGCCAATAAATGATAGTTTCTTCTCTTTTCTTAAGTATTTATTTTCCTAGCATTTGGGGGATGAAAAAAGGAAGCAGAGTATACAAAGGAGGCATAACCTAGTTCCTCCTCTCAGTGACTTTATAGTATTGTTATTCAATTAAAAAATCCTAAATATCTGGGATTCTAGTAATTTAGAAAGTAATCATTAGCTGTAAAACACTTATTTTTTTCTCTTTATTTGCATTTTTCAGGTCATTTTGGTAGTGTTTCCATATTATCAGTATGGCTCCTTTTTAGCAAGGGAACCTGAAAAACTTTTCGTAAACCTCCAGGCAGAGGTTCCCAAACCTGATTGTGCATCAGGTTTAACTCTGTGGTTAATTTAAAACACATAATCTGGGCCCCCTCTTGGAAGCTTCTGTATAAGTCTGGGAACGGATTGCAAAGCCAGACTGAAGGATGGGCCTCGTGAACCATGGTACATCACATTTTAAAACTTATGCCATATTGTTATTGACAGATTCTTGCAAGTTCCTTCACCCTCTATTCCAAAAGAAAAACATAATTTTATATAAGACACTGGAAGATAAGAGAGGCTCCCTACTCAAGTCAGCTAACTGATGTGTTTAATCTTAGTTTGTACAAATGTTCTGATGTATATATTTAGCATTAAAAAGGATAATTAGTCAAGTTCATTTTATGACAAGTTATTTATTTAAAAAATCATACTTTAAGTATTTATGGGGCTTGCCCTGTGGAGTAGTGGTTAAGTTCAGTGTGCTCCACTTCACTGGCCCACGTTCGCAGGTTCAGATCCTGGGTGTGGACCTACGCCATTCATCAGCCATGCTGTGGCAGCAACCCACATATAAAATAGAGGAAGATTGGCACAGATGTTAGCTCAGGGCTAATCCTCAAGCAAAAAAAAAGAAGAAGATTGGCAACAGATGTTATCTCAGGGTGGATCTTCCTCAGCAAAAAAAAAAAAATAACAAAATAACATTAAGTATTTAAAAACTATATAAAGCTATTAAAACTGTATACAAACTCCCTAAAGCTACCAACACTCTTAAAAAGATAGAACATTTCAGTTAACAACCAAAAGCAAATACGCAGGCTGAGAGGAGATCTTTGAAAGTTAATGAAAGGCTACTGGTCATGTCCTTATTAACTAATGGAAAGAATTACCTGATCCCCATGGGTAAATTTCTTATTTAACTAAGAATTTTTGTGCTTGTCTGCCTTTAAGGACACTTGAAGTAATTCTAAGCACTTAAACTAGAAGCTAGTGGGAGGGCGATGACGGAGAAGCAAGAATGGGCCTACGGAAGGGGTGAGGGGAAGATGGGACTTCGTCCCTGAGTTTGTCCTCCCAGCTTGTCCCCCAGAGAATCAGCTGCTCACTGATGATTTCCTAAGATCTGATCCTCTCTTGCAGCATCTAGGATAAAAACCTCACTAAATTCATAAGTGTCAAGAGGAAAAAAAAAGAAGAGGGTACTTACAGAATCAATACTTTGTGAAAACATTATGGAAGCCTTCTCAGTCTGCAAGCTGTCAGGTATGAACTCACATTCTTTCTCAAATAGCCCTGTTACTTTGTCGAGTCTGCAAGGTTTGGAGGCACAGCTGCCTCCTTGACACTTATTTACTAAATTTTTACCAGTAATAGCTGCCGAACATCTGAAAATATATGAAGGTTAGATGTTTAGGTGATGTAATCATTTCAAAGCATTAGACTCTGTGGTCAGTTTCTGACGGATGGCCTTGTCTATGATTTCCTCTCGTAATCCAAGAAACAAATACATCCCCTTAAAGAGCAAAATTATTAAATTCTTATCGTCATTTCTGATTGCAGACAGTATCTGAGGGGTCCCCAAAATGGTATCAGGATTTGTTTCTATGCAGCAGAAAAGCAAAGTCTGGCTTATGGCTGCTGTTAGAATGAATAAGGATCGAAGTCCCGAGGCACTCCCTTGTCTAGTCCCCTCATTCCTGGAAAATAAGGACCCCTCTCTTGTTTCCCTCAAAAGCCTTGCTGACATTTCCTGTTTGTTTTTTTTTTTCTAATTAGTTTATGTCATACTGTTTTTGCATAGTTCTTGTATGTTCATAGGTATATTGGATTTTTCTTTATATTATATGCTTACAACTTTTGTTGCTATTATAAATGGAATGCTTTTTCCCTACATCTTATTTTTGAATATATAAAAGATATTTGAATGCCACAGAAAATTTGGAAAATAGCAAAAAAGTATAAAGAAGAAAAGTAAAAAGTTATGTCCCACCATCAGAAATAGACGACTAACATGATGGAGCATTTCCTTCTCCATGTATCGGCATAACATTGCACATGCAGCTGTGCTTCCTGCTTTTAAAAACTTAGTATGCTAGTATATTAAAAAATTTAATATATTATTATAATTCATAATATTCTTTCAAAACGTGATTTTAATAATTTCATGTTTATATACTATAATATTAATTTAGCCTAATTTGTTTAATTTGGTTCCCCGTCCCCCAGTTTGTCAGTTCTAAAAATAAAAGTTCAATGAATAAATAACATTTCATACAAAATTTTGGCTCTATTTCCACATTTGCTGCATGATTGATTCCCAGAGTAAATTATCAGACCCAAAAGTATGAATAGTTTAAAATCTGTTGCTACAGCTCATTCCATCATTTCCCGTAAAATGGATTTTCAAACATGAAATCACTGGATTAAGAAATAGGAAAAATTTTAGAGATTTGATACGTGTCACAAAATTGCTTTCCAGGAAAGTTGTGCTAATTTATGCCTCTATCAACCATCTGTGGGAGCACTCATCCCATTGACAGTAACTTAAAAGGTAACCAATGATTCTTTTCTTTGTCCAATTTGCACTTTGATTACTAGCAAAGTGTGTTCTTTTATGTGTTTACTGGCCATTTTTACTTCTTCTTTGGTGAATTATTTATTGTTCTCCTGTGTCGATTTTTCTATTAGGGTGTTATTATTTTCCTATTGGTTTTTAAAAGTTCCTTATGTGTTACAATACTAAGCATTTAAAAGCCTGGTTTTCTAATTTTTGCAAATATCTTTTTCTGTTTTTTACCTTTTTATTTAATGTTAGATTTGTGTGAATAAAATTTTTAATTTATATGTAGCCAAATTTATTATTCTTTTAGTTATGTCTTTTTCCAATTCTTGAATGCTTAGAAAGAAATTCACTGTATAGCAGTTTAATATTTGTTAATATTTTTCTAATTTTTGTTATGTTTTTGTTTTTTATGTTTAATGAGTCAATCCAATTGGAAGAGGATCTGTTAAATTTTTTCCCCCACATAGTTAAAAATTGTCCTGATATCTTAAGAAATTCTGCCTTTCCTCATAGATTTGTAATTCTAACTATATTAAATGGTAAATTATTATATATGTGTCTGTCAGTCCACATTGTTTTAATTAATGTAGCTTTATAGTATATTTAAAATTCAATAAGTAAAAGTCCCATCTATTACTATTCTAGGCCTTAAAAGTAATAGAAAAAAATTTGGACAAGAGGCAATATTATTAATATGTTATAATAAAATTTCTTTTTAAGAGGACACGGTAATCGTGTCAGCTTTGCTAATGTTACCTGTGGAAGGAAAAACATGCTGTATACGTAGACATTTCTAGATCTGTAGAAAGGAATATGTACTGATCAGCTTTTCTCTCAAGGGAATATACAGGGTCTAACTGTCGGGAAGCTTAGAAAAGAGAAGTGGGAAAGGTAGACGTCAGGTTTGGAACGGCATCTTGGCTGAGATTTGAGAGGTCAGTCCAACATAGGATCACATCAGGGAAGTGACCCTGGGGTGTGGTCTATGTCATGCAGAGGGAACAAGCTAAAGGGATCCGGTATTCATGGCTCTAGGGGGCACTTAGTGTCTACTTATGCCTGAAGTGAGATAATGATGATTGAAAATATAATGGAAGTGGACCAAGCTGTCAGAGTTTGAGTGTGATAAAGAAAGGGAAAAGTGGAGAGGACTAACGCTTCTGGGGGAGAAATGAGAAGCCCAGGCTGAACTCTGAGCCTAGTGCAGCTCTGCTTGGAAACCATTGGACCCAGTAAAGATAACAGAACCAAAGCCAACAGCATATCCTTAAAGAGCCATCGGGCGGGTAGAACTGAAAGCAGAAGCAGAGAGGGGTGTTGTACCAACATCTAGTCTCTAAAAAGAGATTGCTGTTTTTTTTTAACTCAGGCACAAATGTGCAAAGTTATCCAATTCATTTTGAGAATCTTTTGGAATAATCACTTATTTTTCTTCTTTACTCAATACCCTATATAAATTACTTAACAATATCACAGCATTTTCGGATTTCTGGGAGACATCTTAGGTGGCCTTAGTGTGTTTGTTATTCTCTTAATTCTACCAGATGTAATTTACTATTCTTTTATTTAAAATCTTCTTAGAAAGCTGTATCTACAGAATTCTTTTTCATGCCATCTGTCAGATTTTAGTATCTGAGTGATGCTAGCTCTTTAAAATAAATTGGGACGTTCCCTATCTTTTATGTTCGTACTAAAGCAGTTTATATTCACTGAAACTGTTGGTTGCAAGAACTTGCCCATAAAATCATGGCAGCCAAGAGTACTTTCCAAGGGTTCGGTTTGCTTTCTACTCATACCATACAGGGTTTAATTCAAATTGGGAGATGTTTTCTGTTTTGTTTTAATATTTGGATCATCTTTCAGATAAGTTCCACAATCCCTCCCAGGCCCATTCACACTGACAAAATCCACACAGACATCATTCTTCCCCCAAAGCATTGAAGAGTCCATTAGCTTTGTTTATGTCACAGATTCTGATACAAGAAGCTGGAGACACAGAACATAGCACCTGTGGATTTCTTATAGTTGTACACACACAAAAAGAGGCAAAAGATTTGTAGTTGCAGAGTAGAGAATTCAACTGAAGCCCTTGTAAAGTGAGCAAAAACGGTAGTTGTGTGGAGATCTGAAAAAGAAGGCACTGTGAGAGAATGACAGATAGAAAATGACAAAAAACTGATTTTTTAAAATTAACATTGGTTTATAACATTATATAAATTTCATATGTACATTGTTACATTTTGACTTCTGTATACCATATGGTGATGAATGGAAACTAGAATTTTGGTGGTGAACACAATGCAGTGTCTACAGAAATTGAAGTATAAGGATGTACACCTGAAAGACTGATATTTTTAAGGTGATCAATTAAAGAAAAAATTCATTGCAATTTAATACAGTTTGGGAAAAGTTAAATCAAAATATACATACATTACTGCTTTGTTTTTTCCTTTGGATAAGTAGAATTTCTGGTCATTATTGTATTCATTAAATACTCCCCATCGTAGATGAGCCCATTCGTGGACAAATGCCCTTCCTGTGAGAAAATATTTTAAACACCTGATTACAATAAGAATGGCAAAATTACCTTCTCACACTGGGAGAAAGCCATTGTTCTGAATGTTATTATGCTTTGTTATGTTAATTTTTTAATTAAAGGTTTTATTTCCTTAGAAAGAAAAATCTAATATGGCAACTGCACACTTCCGTAAAATATAACTACTTGTGTTGGCTCATCAAATGTTAATTAGGCACCAAGTAAGTGCCAGACAGTTATTCATACAAAGATGAAACAACTGCCTTGTCCTTACGTAGCTCACGATCTAGCAGATGACATGCAGGATCGGATAACTAAAAGCCTTAGTGGTGCAGGTGTAATGGTGGAGGTTCCTATGGACCTCTTATGGGAGCCAGAGGTACTCACAGGGCAGCCAGGGCAGCATCCCCAGTAGGTCCTTTTCTCTCATGGCTCATATCTGCTCAAACCTGGAGGTCTGCCTACTCTACCTCTGCCTTTTTGCTTTGACATATTCTCATCTTTCCAGTCTCATTGCCAGTTACTTCTGAATTACTGCAATAGCCACCCAGCTGGCTTCCATGTTTCCAGTCTTCAATGGCTCCCCTAATGGTGCTCAGGGTTAACTCCAACTTCTCAACATGGCATACAAGGTCCCTGATGATACAGGCCCTGCTCCTCTTTGCAGCCATATTTCTTGCTGTTTTCCACCCAGTTCCAAAACTCCATAATCAGTGAATTCCTGAATTCCTTTTACTTTCTAGAGCCACACCATGCTTTTGCTCATCTCTGGTCCTTTTTAAAATATTTTTCCTCTGCTGAGAATACTCTTTCCCTGTCTCTGCCCGGATAGCTCCTACTCTTCTTTCAAAATCAAGCTTATGTGTACTAGAAGCCTTCTCTGACATCTCCAAACTAGTCCAGGTAACCCTCCTTTGCACTTTCATTATATTCTATTATGGCACTTGTCCTGTTATATTGTCATTGTTGCTTACTTGCCAGTCTCTCACACTAGACACTTGTCTCCATGAGGACAGGCACCATAACTTCATTGTCACGTCTGGGCACATAGTGTCTAGAACTTAATAGGCACTCAATGGGCGTTTGTTAAATTTGGATGAATCTTAGTGACTTATGTTCAGTTTTTCTGGAATGTAAGTTCCTGGGTAGGCTGAATTTGGGGGTTAGGTGAGGGGGTGCATACTAAGGAGGCCCTAGAATCTCACACTAAGGATTTGGACTTTATTCTGTAGGTGCTGAGGAACACTTAGTGGCCTCTTAAAGGTAAAGGAAGATTGTGAGGGAGCAGATGTGGAGTTATAGTACGGAAAGGAGAGATTTTAAAGGAATGACATTATATATGGTGACCATGATGCTGGAGCGGGCTCCAGAGTGGGATGGGGCTGTTAGGTAAATCAATTTAACGCACACTTATTGAGCCATACACTGGGAATTTTCTGTTCCTGTTATGGAGGTGAAATGGAGTGTTGTGGAAGAACAACACAGAGGAGGTATGCTTGACAAGACTTTATCTCTCTGATAAGGTCTGTAGATGCTCTAGAGTGTTTGCGGGTGGGGCATGAAGGCGCCTGGGCTCTTCTGTTTGTTTGTTTGTTTCCTCTGCCTTGACTATTTAAATGAAGAAAAAGAAGCTGGTTCCAATCTTTTCGAGATAGTAAAGAAGTCTAATACTAGTTATTACTTAACCTAATTAGTTAATACTAATCATTTGGTTATACTTGGAAAGTATACATAATCTATATACTACATTGCCTGTTTGTTTTCCAAAGATTGCTGTGTATAGCTCATATGGGAATGATAAAGAATTTATTTTGTGACGTAAAAAGAAACTTTTTCCTTAGTTACACGTTTTTGAGAGCTGAACTGCAAGGATGTTCTGTCTGCTACTCAAAGTGTGGTCCACGGTCCAGCAGTATCAGTATCACCTGGGATCTTGTTAAAAATGCAGATTCTTGAGTCCCACCTCACACCTACTGAATCAGAATCTGCATTTTAACAGTCCGTTTATAAATTTGAATGTGCATAAAAGTCTGAGAGCACTGTGTGTCTCTGTCGTCCGGTGGCTGCTACCTGAATTTCAGACAGGAGGTTTTAATTCATTCAGGTGAGTCTCCCTGCAGATTCACAGAAAGCTAATACTACATATTAAACTATTTTACAATTATTTTCTGCTACTAATATTATCTGATAATAACTTCTGAAAATTAAAAATACTATATTTATACATGTATGCAGAATATGAAGAAATTAAATTTATGAGAAATGCACTCTTCTGAATCCCTGTTTTAAGTGAATAGTTTACTTGGCTTATATGGGCTTAGTCAGAAAGATAATGTTATTTTTCATCTACTTTGAACATAAAATTATTAAACTATGAAAAAGAGAGCAGAATATTTCATCTCTCTCCATACCTTGTGGTCCATATTGAGGCAACTTTTTTCCTGCTAAGAAGTCAGGAGTGAAGTAAATTCTTTCACCCTTTTCTCCACAATTTCCCATCTGCTCGGTATAGGGTTCATCGTTTCCTGGAGGATTAGGTTCAGCAACTAGAACATCAGCCTAAAATTTAAGAAAAAGTTTTTATCATTACAAAATTTCAGCAAATGAATTGACCTTAGTCACACTGCAGTATTTTGAATCAATTTCATTTGATTCTAGAACATTTTGATAAAAAAGTCTGAATCACAGAAGAAAACTGAATTTGGAAAAAGAACTTGATATTCTCACATTTTTGTAGGTCTCAAGTTTTGGCCTCACATATTCAGGTTTTGTCTTCCATTTTTCAGGAATCAAAATGGCAATATTTTTGAAATAGAATCTTTTTTCTGTAGCTTCAAACAGGTATGGAGATGCCTGGGTCACCATGTCCTGGGAAAAAAGAAAACATACATAACAAGTGCAATTACGACTGGAAATAGACAAACTTACCAATCATTCAAATTTACATCTGTATTTTGCATTTCCAAAGACTGGTTATATCAAAATGGGAAGGGAAAATGTGGAAATACCTTTTATTAATAATAATAGCTAACCTTTTTGAGCACTTACCACATGATTTGTGTCACAGTGTAATGGTTGACAATGCAGACTCCTGAGGCTGACACTAATTCCGGCTCCACCACCTATTGTGGGACATCGGGCAATTTCCTTGAGCCCTCTTGAGCCTCAGTTTCTCCGTTTATAAAATGGAAAATATTACAGTGACCAGCTCATAAGGTTGTGAGGACCAAATGAAGTCAAAAAAGCACTTGGAACCGTGTTTACTTAGCACAAGTGCTTATTAAATGTAAGCTATTAGTTTCATCTCATTTGATCCTTTGAGGATCAATAAACCTTTAGAAAGAAACTGACAATTAGAGAGTATAAGTCTCAAAGTCTCACACCAAGCAGGACTTGGAGAGAAACTCAAATTAAAATGAATATGACTTCAATACCCGCTGACTCCTGTAATAATTTGGGGGCTAACCAAATGTTATGATAGTATTTACTTTTAGTATAGTACTAAGTGTCAGATATAAGGAAGTGGCCTAATTATATAATTTCTTTTTAAATTACACCTAACTTTATTTCTCTACAATGGAAGAGCCATAGTGTTAAATTATAAATACCTCAGCAGGTTCCCTGAGATGCATCACGACAAGAGAGTAGAGAGGGTATCACAAGATATTTATTATTGAAAGGGCATTGGGTCCATTAGATCTGAAATCACTGGCCTCAAAAGTGAGAGTAGACAGAGGAAAGAAGAGGGCTGAAGCCTGAGCCCCGGAAGCCACCACCATTTAGAGGTGGGAAGAGAAGGAGCCAGCAAAGGAGACTCAGAAGGAGCAGCTGGTGCATGGGAAGGAAATCAGAAGGCATGGGGTGAGAGTGTTTCCAGAAGGAGAGAGTGATCATAGGTGTCAAATGCTGTTGAGCAATCAAGTAAGATGAAGACTAAGAACTGATCAATGGATTTGGCATCCTGGGTGAGCCATTTTAGTGGAATGGAGATGACAGCTCCATATGAGTGAATTCAAGAGAGGGAGAGGTGAGGAAGTGGAGGCAGTGAATACAGACAACAGGTCAAGAAGTTTTCTGTAAATTAAAGGAGAATAGAGAAACGAAGCAGTAGCCGAAGGAGCACTTCAGGACAAGGGAGTTTTGTGTGGTTTGTTTTTTTTAAAAACGGGAACTATTATAGCATATGTATGTGCTAATGGAAAAATTCCCTGATGATGCAAGAGAAAAAAGGGATCATTGCAGGATGAAAGTCCTTCCTGGAGCAGACCAGAGTGATTAGACTCCAGTGCCCAGTGGGGTTGGCCTTAGGGGCAGAAACAGTGCAGCGTTATATGGGGAAGCAGTACTCAGGTATTGACGCAGAGGTGAACCCTGCTCTGCCACTTCCTAACGTGATAAATTTGGGGAATTTATTTTATCTCTCCAGCCTCAGTTTCTCTCCTTTCAAATATTGATAATAATGGTTGCCTTGCTAGTTTTAAAAAAATTCTCATTATTGATTTGCATTTTCTTCCTCCAAAAAAGCCAGATCTTCAACAATCGCTAGGAGAATTTAACATTGTGTCATTTTTAAAAATAAAAACACTGAGTCAGGATCACCAGAAAAGTTGAAAAGTGGGTATAAAACATCCTACCTTAGAGTATCATATTATAATATGACTTGGGAAATGTGACTTTTCAGTGTCTCCCAGGAAGAAGGATAAGCAGCAAGAAATGGTCTTGTCTTCCATGCTTTAGTGGAAACATTAATAAGGGATCTTTGCTTTGGCATCTGTTCCAGATTTTGAGAGGGACCTCATGTCCAAATAGACATTTATACTCAAGGCTGAGAGAAGGTTGAAGATGACAGTTTACAGGATGGGCTAGAAATTCCTTAGGGACAGGGTTAGTGTATGTTCACCACTAGATTCTTGGTTCCTGACATAATGTAGATGCTCTGCAAATGTCTGCCGGGTGAATGAACAAATGAATGAATGAATGAAGTGATTATGAATGGCAAACTGTCCAGGAGTACCAAGACAGGAGGTGCCTGGGCTCCCTGCATTGAGGAGACCCTAGACTGCTCCCATTGTGCGTCTTGTGTGTTTGTGTGTGACAGAGAGAGAGCATGCTTCTCCCTGACCCTCATTCCCTCATCCTGTGACGTGTGCTCTCGCTGCTTCAACTTAAACTGACAGGAGCACAGGTGTGGTCGACGGAACTGCTGCAGCGCCATCTGCTGGACTTGTAGGTGGAGAAATGTTGGGGCTTGTCCTGCTGAAGCAAGTATTTAAGAGTTGACTCAGAGGCTTCTGTCCCCACCAGGGCACCCGGGGGAGAGTCTCCCCTCAGAAAGAAGGTTGTTGGAGCAGAGAGTGAGGAATGGCCAGGAAAGGCGGTAAAGCCCACAATGAGGTCCCTCAACTCTACACTTCTGGAACACCAAAAAGGGAGGAACACACTTTGATGAACTACACAGTTAGGGCCTCTGAGCACACTACTGCCTGTAAAAGTGGTCCTGTTACAGAGAAGGAAATGTGGAAACCAACTTATCCCATACTCACCTCATTTAGGACTCAAAGCAGAAAGCCAATTTACTAGTTGTAGTGAGAAGTATGTTTCTCAGAAGGAAAATCCCCAGAAATAATGAGATGAAAGCACGTTGAAAGCTCTAAAGCATCGTATAAATACAAATTTCCATTGTCATTAGGCACAAGGCATCTCTGTTCTCCTTCTGGTATGTTCCTGAGCCCCACTGACTGTCTAGCCAGAGAAGAAACCTGCTGGTCATATTTTTCTCCCACACTTTCTGTGTCTGTTGCTCCAAGTGGCTCCTTCATTTTTGCTGATGCTATTTCCAAGTTTAGAGGCAATCAAAAACGTACCCAAGGTTTCTGATTGTTCAGAGATTTCAAAAGGTATGAATTTTCCTTTTACTGATGGCAGCAATATCTGACAGTCTTCAGGTTAAACGGGCAAGCTTCCCCTCCTCTCTCAACTACTGCGATTCTCCAGCCCCAAACTCCTCTTGGTGGTTTCTCTCCAGACTCCATTTTTCTGGGTTTGCTCCTGCTCAGAGCAAGGAACCTTTGGGACAACGCTGGGAGTCCTTGCCGTATTAACTTCCGAGCTCATACTCAGAAATTTTGCTCAGAAGCGAGCCCCAGTCCCCTTGGCTTGGTTAAGACGGGTGAGTCATTTCCATCAAGAAGGATTAAAAGAGGGACTGGTGACTGATTACTTTGCCCACCATTTTCTGAGCTCTTACTATGTACCAGGCTCTATGACTGCATTCTTAAAGTTTTTTTTTTTTTTCAAATTTTTGAGATAATTTTACAGATGACTTACAGAAGATATGCAGACATTGTGCTGACTTCCCATATATCCTTCACCCAGCTTCCCTTATATGCATGCATTGTTAAATTTAATACTCACAAAATCCTATGAGGAAGGTACTTATGTTTACCCGCATTTTTGTTTTTTTGTTGTTGGTTTTTTTTTTTGTGAGGAAGATCAACCCTGAGCATTATCCATGCCAATCCTCCTCTTTTTGCTGAGGAGGACCGGCCCTAAGCTAGCGTCTATTGCCAATCCTCCTCTCTTTTTTTCCGTTTTCTCCCCAAAGGCCCAGTAGATAATTGTATGTCATAGTTGCACATCCTTCTAGTTGCTGTATGTGGGACGCCGCCTCAACATGGCTGGACAAGCAGTGCGTTGGTGCACGCCCGGGATCCTAACCTGGGCCGCCAGCAGCGGAGTGCGCGCACTTAACCCCTAAGCCAGGGGGCCGGCCCCCTGTTTACTCCCATTTTACAGACAGTACTTTTGCTTGTTACACAATACTGCCTCTGATATGCTACAGTTAGACTCTAGCGTGTCTTTTGTAAGGCATTTCCCTCTTATTCTTAGCTGTTCGTTGTTGTATATGACCTCTCTAACCCCTCCACCTTACAACAATTAGACACCTCTGCCAGGATGGCAAGAGCCTTCTTCCCTAGTTTTTCCTTCTCCCACAGAAGAAGTAACAAGTGAGATGAGGCCACTCAGCAGCCCTGAGAGAATCCCTTCCATTGGAGCTGGTAAAATGCGGGGTTTCTTCCCACTGGAAGGGTCAGGGTTGTTCTTAAGTCAGAGATTTTATCCTTGGCTCCTATATTAGGATCACAGAGAAGGGGGTTACAATTAGGAGAATAAAAGGAGAATTTGATATAAGCCAATGGTAAAACCAGGCAAAGGAATGTATCCTCTGTGCATCTCACAATATCTGCCAAATGTAGGGGGCTCTACGTTGGTGCAGAATTAAATAATTTTCAATGAAATCATCCACAGCCAATAAATGTAGACGTCATCGTATCAACAATGTATCAAACCCTGAGTTATGTACATTGCATTTATTATCTCATCTCGCAAAGAATCCTAATCGCTAAGTGTTACTATTAACATTTTTCAGCTGAAGAAACTGAGACTCAGACATGAAAATAACTTGCCAGTGTCACACAACTGGGGTTAGAGAACTCATGTTCCCTCTATCACAATATTATACTTCATTTTTTTTTAAAAAAAAAGCATGGATAATTACCATTTCGAACTTACCTTTATTTGTTGAATGAGTGTTTCATCTTCTGGCACATTAGGGTCAATTGCAATGACAATGCCTTCATAGCCATTATTATTCAGCTGAATGAGTGAATTGCTCAGGGCCCCTTCCAGAAAGTGAAGGACTAAGATGAAAACAGAACTCTTAAATGACCCCATTGCTGTACTTCTCCCTTGGATTTCTCTCTTTGGGAAGTATTGGTTTTGGAGGCAGCTTTCTTTACCCTTATTTATATGAACATATAGACACAAGTTATCAGAGGTAGTTTACCAAGGACTTAAACCCCTTGATCCAAAATTGTTTAACTATTGCGTTTATCTCCAATATGAGGGTAATCAAAGCTTAGTCTCAAATTCTGTGTACTTTTAAATATTTTGTTTTAAAAGGATCGCTGGCCTTGACTTCGCCTGTGCCAGATGCTAAGAATGAGGGTGAGGCGCCCACATCCGGTTCCCTGGAAGGACTCACAGGTGATAAGCAGCTTGGCCATTGAAAGATGTTTACTTCTTACAAATGTTTGCCCAGCCAGGGACACTGGCTCACCCAATGCCACCCTCCAGCCCCCACCTGCCCAGCCGAGACTTGACTGTTCTGTGTATTCAATAAGCATTCATTAAATGTAAATCATGTATCCAGTTATCCCTCGTGGTGGTCTTTATTTTTATCCTCATTGATCTTGACATAACCTCAGCACCTCTTGGTGCATGCCTCAGACAATCCACTTGCACCAAAAGCATTAGCAAGCAACATAGATATTACTGAATATTTTATAATAGAGAGAAAAGATAAAATTGTTTTGTGCAAAGCAAACTCCCTCAAGTTTTCTCATCAGTCCTCTCCTTTCTCTGTTCCATAGCTCCTATCAGTCAACAAAATTCAAATTAACAATATGAAATTATTTTACTGAAACTTAACGTCTCTCAGGCTGTGAATTATGGACTGCCATCTACCACATAGATTCTTTTAAATTTTCCATACCTCAGATGGAAACTCAAATTGGTCCACCACCTTCCTGCATTCAAATTACTTGAAATATCCCTTCATCCCATGACTTTATTTGGTCTTCGCATGGTGGTAAGCATCAATTTCATCTTGTCTGTTCCTTGTCTTTGACATTGACTCATAAAATTTAAATTAGTACTTATTGCTAACAATTAGTATTTATTGCTTAAGTGCTTAATCTTTAAGCAATCGAAAGTAAAGCACTGAAATAGAGTGGAAGTACTCAATTATAAAGTGGTTGTCCAGATGATCCAAATATGCTTTCATATGAAAATAATTTATTCAATGCTTATTGAATAAATGTCTGCATTTATTGTACATATGACATAAAAAATTTAGATTCTAAAATGTCTCAGACCCCCAACTATGTGTATCTTTCCTGGATTCCCTAGAAAACAGAGCCTAAGGCTAGCTTACATGCTAACGATTTGAGAGTTTAATCCCAGAGCAGTGAGAGTAAGGGGAAGGGAAAATGAGTCAGGGATGGCTGGGAAGTAGTGAAAGGTGAAGTGTTACCACACTGGTACAATGAAGAGACCCAACAGTCCACCCTGCAGGTGCACCTGCTCTGCCATCTGGGATATCTCCTAATGGGCTATACAAAGAAACCATGCCTTGGAACAGTCCATTGGAGGAAGGAAGGGAAAGTGTTTGGCTCCTTCTCATCTCCTTTAGGTGATCAACTCCCCTGAACTTCCTGGCTGTGTTGTCCAGCTGCTTCAGCGGCTGCTTGGAAAGAGAGATACCATGCCCTGTGATATACAAGGAGCTAAGGATTCCAAGTGGTGCCGGCTTGATCTCTGGCAGTGGAACCACTTGGGCTTGCAAGGAGTGGGTAGTGACTGAGGAGGAGCAAGTGACTGAGGGTCCAGTAGACTGATGGGACTAAGAAAATCTAAGGAGGTCAATAAGATAAGTCCAGTACAATTCATCCCTTGAACTGCTCACATCCACTCATACTCTTTCATACTATCTAGCTCCAATACTATACTGTAGAGTTTGCATTTTTTCTTGTGAGCACAAGCTGTCTCGCTTTTTCCTTGAGAGAAGGTTCAAGTCCAATCATTCATAGAATCTCCTTCAAAGTGGTGGCCAATTGCAATCTCCTAAAATATCTAAAGCAAGAGAGTTATTTAAATAAATTGCGGTGTCTGCTGCTAGAGCTCAAGGCCATTATAGATATTTATTATCTCCTTCCTTCATCACCAATTTCCCTCACATTGAGCCAGTATTTTGGCTGATCTGTGTTGCTTGTTTGCCTGTTGGTGTAACCCAACACTTCATCCCTGAGGAGTCTGAGCCCTTAGTTGCCCTGCCCTTGTTGGGTTGTGGCTGCTGCAGCTGCCTGTGACAGGGGTCATCTGGTATGATAGACCCAGCTTAGGTGCCTCCCCAGATTTGCTTGGCCTTCCCTGCTGGCCTTGGCTGCTTGCTCAGTGGAGTCCATGCTGCTGCTACGGTTGCCTCATCTCCTGCTGGCTCTTCTCTGCTTCCCTAGGAAGAGGGCCTAGTTTAGCATGGCCTCCGCTGGGCTGGAGTGGCAGCTCCACTCTCTCTGGTGCTCAAGACTGGCCTAGACAGATGCACAGAGGCTCTGGCTCACATAAAGCATCGTACTTTAGCACCTGGGATCTGGCTTTGTCAGAGGCAGCCCAGATGAGTCAGATGACACAAACCAGAGGTTCAGGTAGTTAACCTGAGAGACAAACTTTCGTCAAAGATGTAGGGTATTTCCAGCATCCCATAAGTCTCTTTTGTGCTTCTTTCTAGTCAAAAACTCCCAAACGGTAATGGCTATTCTGACCTCCATTACCACATAGATTAATTTTACCTGTTTTTGAACTTCATATAAACAAAAATATACAGCACACTCTCTTGTGTCTGTCTGGCTACTTTCACATAACATTTTCTGCATGAAATTCAGCCATGTTGTTGCATATAGCAGTAATATGTTCTTTTTCCATTGTAAGACTATACCACAATTTACCTGCCAACTGCTGTTAATGAACGTTTGGATTATTTCCTGTTTGGGACTATTATAAATAAAACTTCCATAGACTATAAGCATTGATTTCAGTTGGGTATATACCAAGAGTGGAATTGCTTGGTCACAGGGTGTACTTATGTCCAGCTTTAGTTGATCTTTCAAACACTTCTCAAAGTGGTTGTACCTATTGCTCCACATTTCTGTCAGTACTTGGTACTATCAGTCTATAATTTTAGCTACTCTGGTGGGAATGGAATCATATTGTACTGTGATTTTAATTTGCATTTTCCCTGATGACTAATATTGTTAAGCACCTTTTCATATACTTTTGGTCATTTGGATATCTTATGTTGTGAAGTGCCTGTTCAAGTCTTTTTGCCCAATTTTTAATTAGGTTGTCTTTTTCCTACTGATTTATAAGAGTTCTTTATATGTTATGGGTATTGAGTCCTTTGTTGGATATAGGTATTGCAAATACATTTTTCCAGTTTGTGTCTTGCCTTAATGGTGCTTTAGGATGAACAGGGGTTCTTAATGTTAATGGAGTCCAATTTAATTTTTTCTTTCATGAGTAGTGTGTTTTGGATCATATTTAAGACAGCTTTTCCAAGTTCATGAAGATATCATACAATATTCTGTTCTAGAAGCTGTATTGCTTTACCTTTCACATTTAGGTCTGTGATTTATTTCAAATTAATTTTTTTGTGTAGTGTATGGTGAGATTCAAGATTTTTGTTTTGTTTTGTTTTCTTTTCCTTTATGGATAGAATAGGCCCAGACCATTTATTAAAAGGACAATAATTTCCCCCACTGAATTGCAGTTGTGCTTTCGTTGTGAATGAGGTGACTGCAAATGTGTGGGTCTGTTTCTAGACTCTCTTTTCTGTTCCATTGGTCTATGTGACTATCCTTATTCCAGTAGCATATTAATTACTGCTGCTTCGTAAGTCTTGATGTCTGATAGTATAAACACTCCAGATTTGTTTTTCTTCAAGATTATTTTGACTATTTTAAGTCCTTTGGATTTTAATATAAAATTTAGGGTCGGCTTGTCAATTCCACCAAAAAAAAAATCTTCTGAGTTTTATAGGATTGTATTGGATTTATAAATCAGTTTGGAGAGAATTGACATTTTTATAATATTGAGTCCCTAAAATTCATGGATATGGCATATCTCTTCATTTTAAGTTTTATTTAATTGATCTAAACCATATTTTATAGTTTTCAGGGTAGAAGTATTATGCATTTTTCATTAGATTTACTTCTAGGGTTTTTTTTTTTTTTTTGGTGCTATTGTAAATGGTATTTTTATAAATTTTCATTTTCTAATTCTGTGTTGCTGGTATATAGAAATATAATAGATTTTTATATATTGACCTTATATTCAGTGAGTTTGCTCAAAATCCCAGCAAGGTTTTGTAGAAATTGACAAGTTTATTCTAAAATATATGCGAAAATACATCTATATCTATAATAGCCAAACACTCTTGAAAAAGAAAAGTTAGAGGACCATTACCTGATTTAGTGATTTGCTATAAAGCTACAATAATTAAGACAGTGTGATATCAGTGTAAGGATAGACAAATAGATCAAGGGAACAGAATATACCTACTCATATATATACTCAATAGATTTTCTACAAATGCATATGTAAAACAATGAAGGGAGGCAACTCAGTGGGTAGAAGAGAGTTCTTTTCAATAAATGATGTTGGAACAACCAGACATATGTTTGGGAAAATAATTTTACTCCTACTTTATAAAAATATGAATTCATCATGAATCATAGATATAAATATGAGTTAAGATATAAACTGGAAAAAATACAAGATAATATCTTCACAACTATAGTGTATAAAGATTTCCTAGAACAGAGAAAACACTAAGCATAAGAAATATATATAATGTATAATTTCTTTATCATATTTATAATAGTTATTGTAAACTCATTGTCTGCTAATTCCAAGTCTGGATCATTTTTGGATTTTCTTCCACTGACAGATTTTTATTCTTATTAATGATGGGACACATTTCCTGCTTGTTGGCATGTCTAGTAATTTTTTATTATATACTGGATGAAATATTGTGGAGAGTCTATATTGTGTTATCCTCCTCTGAGTTGTATTCTAGTAGTTAAATTGTTGGTGCATCGTCTGGATTCTGCAGAGACTTGGTTTTATGCTTCGTCAAAGCAGATCTACTTCAGTTTTGCCCTTGTTTCTATAGCATAACTCTTAG